TTGCAGATTCCACAAGTCTTCTGAGTCAATTTTTTTTTGGGTGAAACTTCTGAGTCAATTCTGTATGTATGTATATTACATTAGACTAGACTAGAATTAATTGACTGGCTTCACTAAAAATTTACATCCTCGGATTTGCAATTCCAAATTTACTAATTGGATTAAATTAAATTTTGTAAAAGAATTTAAAATATATGAATAATAGATTACGTAACTGTATATATATAGTATAAACTGAGCCGGGGAAGAAATATTTTGCCGCTATCTATAATTGGATGGATGGGTGTCCCCACAAGAGTTAATTTTTTTAGCAGGAGAGGAGGAGTAAATGGTGGCTGTATCGCACTTTAAATATGACATTGACGTAACTTTCCCTTCATTTTCCGCTTTTATATTTCCCTCCTTCCTTCATTCCTTCGTAACAGTAGGAGTAGTTGTAGTTATACTAGTGTCTACTGCCACTGTACACCGCAACTTCCAGAAACACCAAAATCTTATTTTTAAATCCCTTCAGTTCTCTCTTTCTCTGCTTTCTTATTTAATGTCTCAGCATATATAGACAGTTCATAACCGGCCTCTTTGCTTTTAATCTATCTCTCCTTTACAATTTCTTCGCCATGTCGCCGCTAAAGATGGCGGTGCCCTTGGCGCTACTGCTGCTGTTGTTTGCGAGTGCTAAAGCAGAGAGTCCTTACAGATTCTTTTCTTGGAACGTTACCTATGGCACTATCTATCCCCTTGGCAAACCGCAGCAGGTATAGTAGCTTACTTATTTGCTTCAATTCAATTTGCGTTTTCTTTTCATTTATGGCTAGATTGGGTTAAGCCATTAAGGTTTTATGGATCGATCTGTCTTGTGCTTCTGGGATCTTGATATCTCATGCCAGGCCACCCAATTCACACAATTTTATAACTGATTATAATTATTACTCCGTACTATTATATTGTACAATAAAAATGACTTCTTTTTGCAGGGTATTTTGATTAATGGGCAATTCCCAGGCCCAGACATTCACAGTGTCACCAATGACAATCTGTATATCAATGTGTTCAACAGCTTGGATGAGCCTTTTCTTATTTCTTGGTAAGCCTGCCTTTTAAACACTCGTCCAGCTTTCTTAATTATATTATATTGTATTGTATTGTATTGTTGGTCTTGGCCGCTTACTCTAAAATTGAAGTGTCATTAATTAAACACCGTCAGATCTGATTAATAATGCATTTCTTCAACATAGCAGCAGAAGCATAAGTTAGACAGTAAGTACAGTTGACTAAGTTTGTTACGGATCTCAAATAAATTTATGTACTAGAAACAGATCATCACATGGCTCCGGACACTACCCATTTTCACATTCTCTTCATTCAACCAATTCCAAATACTATATGTTGGTGGGGGAGTTTTTCAGAAATTCTTGTGTGATTATACAAAACATATAACATCGCATTAAAAAATAAATTATAAAGGTGAACTAGTGTTGAAGATTTCTAGAATCACCACAAGTTTTGCATTAACAATAGTCCTATGACTTGCCCAATTGTAATGCTGATTTGTAAATATCAGATCTAGAGTTTATTATAGTCATGTTCACGGGATGGGGTGCAGTTAAAAGTTTGCTAAGGATGTGTTTGTGAACCCGTGCCTTGAAAAAAAAAAAAAAGTTATTACATTGATAATGAGTGATAAAATAATTTTCCTTTTGGCCCCAAACTCAAAGCGTCCCTTTCCTTCTAAGCAAAATACATAATTTGATACAAGGAACTGATGAAGGTTTCATTAAACAACTCATGTGCATGTTTATTGGAAACTTTATTCTGGGGCCCACTCCCCTTGTCCCATCATAAAGAAAGGAAGCAGTATAACTGAAGATTGCATTTTTTTGTCCTTGAAAACATTACTATGTGAGGATATAGTTTACTAACAAAATCTTTGTGAGTGACATTCTCCAACATATGATGACTTACTGGGGTCTTGGGACAAACTTGACCAATACTAAATGTGTATAGGAAAATGAAAGTGGGACTAAGGGACAGATGGAGTAAAATTGTGTAGTAAGAACTTATTTAGATTTCATGCGTGACCTTTTAAGAAAATTACAGGAATGGGGTTCAGAATAGGAGGAATTCATATGAAGATGGAGTTTATGGAACAACATGCCCAATTCCTCCAGGAAAAAACTTCACTTATATTCTTCAAGTGAAAGATCAAATTGGGAGCTTCTATTACTTCCCCTCTCTTGCCTTCCACAAAGCAGCTGGTGGGTTTGGAGGCATCAGGATTCTTAGCAGGCCCCTAATCCCTGTCCCTTTCGATGAGCCTGCTGGTGACTGGACTGTGCTAATTGGAGATTGGTACCAGAAAAATCACACGGTACTCTCTTCATACACTGCTAAGCCTTTTCCTTAAACTGTTCATTAGCCACAACTAAAGTCACTTGCATTATACATTTATACTTGTATTGTTTCTATCAAATAAATGATCTGGTGCCTGTTAATACAGGATTTGAAAAAAATTCTGGATAGAGGCCATAAATTACCATTCCCTGATGGAATCCTCATCAACGGGCGTGGCCCTAATGGCGCTTCATTCACTGTCGAACCAGGTGAGATTACAATGCCAGAGCAACTTTGAAATGTTTTCAGCCTGCATCTGATGAAATTAAACATGTTTCATGTATATGAATGAATAAGCGACAACAATTTCATATTCTGCTCTCTGACTTGAGAAATGTGTGACAGGAAAAACGTATCGGCTCAGAATTTCCAATGTTGGGCTGCAAAATTCCCTCAATTTCCGCATCCAGGGACACAAGATGAAATTGGTTGAAGTGGAGGGAACACACACCATGCAAACTACTTTCTCCTCCCTTGATGTTCATGTTGGGCAATCGTACTCTGTGCTGTTTACTGCTGATCAGACCCCTCAGGATTACTACATAGTTGCTTCCTCCCGTTTCTCTACTAAGATCTTGACTACCACTGCTGTTCTTCATTACAGCAACTCCAACCGCCCTGTCTCTGGCCCCCCTCCTGGTGGACCAACCATTCAGATTGACTGGTCTATTAACCAGGCCCGTGCCATCAGGTATGTACTTCCCTTGAATTATATATGTATTTATTTAATGGAGTGCTTGCTTCTCATCCATTTCCAATTGTATGTATATCCTTTCCTTAGGACCAATCTTACAGCTAGTGGACCAAGGCCTAACCCACAAGGTTCATATCATTATGGTATGATAAACACCACCAAGACCATCAGGGTTGCAAGCTCTGCTGGCCAAGTGAATGGCAAGCAGAGATATGCTCTCAACAGTGTTTCATTTGTGCCAGCTGATACTCCACTTAAGCTCGCTGATTACTTCAACATTGGAGGAGTTTTCCGTGTGGGAAGTATTTCATCTGCCCCCACCGGTGGGGGTATTTACCTCGATACTTCTGTCATGGGTGCAGACTATAGGACATTTATAGAAATTGTGTTTCAGAATGACGAAGACATTGTTCAGAGCTATCATATTAACGGATACCAATTCTGGGTTGTCGGGTAAGCTTAACGTACAACTAACTCTTTATTATTCATCAATTTAATTTGCCAGTGGCTAATTAATGTGTTACAATTAATGAAATTCAGAATGGATGGGGGACAGTGGACAGCGGATAGCAGGAACCAGTACAATCTTCGCGATGCTGTTGCACGGTCTACCACTCAGGTAAAAGATGAATCTGAGATTGCTTGATTAGATAATCCACAATACATGCAGGGGAAATATTCAGATTCTAATGGTTTTGGAAATTGCAGGTGTACCCAAAGTCATGGACTGCAATTTACGTTGCACTTGACAACGTAGGAATGTGGAATGTGAGGTCCGAGTTCTGGGCACGACAATACCTTGGACAGCAGTTCTACTTGAGGGTTTACACCACTTCGACCTCGTTGAGAGACGAGTATCCAATTCCCATAAATGCCCTTCTATGCGGCAGAGCAGTTGGTCACCACAAACGGCCACTCTGAGCTCGGGTGTGGCTAGCTAGCTAGGAAAAGGCAAGCTCTCACCTTGACCTGGCTGGCTGGGGTATAAAATTATGAGTGTAGTCACTGTGGCATAGTTTAGGCAAAAGAAGAGTTTATTTATGGTGGGATTTTGTTGGTGTGTGCTATTTCAGCACCTTAGGATGATGTTTGATTTACTTGTATGGTTGATGACCTCATCTCAAGGTCACATTCTTTCTTTTAAGTTTCTACCCAACATTGTATTTGTTGTTTCTTCATTGTTTCAGTTTCTGATCCGACTATAATTACTATCTTATTACAACAAATAAAAGTTTATTTCTTACTGCTTCTAATCCTTCTTACATTTGAAGTGATGTGAACTGATGAAGATTATATTGTTCTCAACATGCATCTATGAAATCTTCTGCCATGAAGGGGTAAAACCAAGAAATGTATATGCAAATTGCAAAATAATAACATATGTTAGGATCAAATATAAAAATATGCCCTTACTTTGTGCACAAAGAAAATCAAATGATGTCAGAATCTTATATAATTGGGTAAAAATGTTGAATGGAATGATACAAATTGAATAGTCATGCACTTAATTTGAAAATGTTAATAGTCAAGGACTAAAATTAATACATATATTATAATCAAGGGACTAAAAAATATTTTCTCATAGTTAAATTAGAATGTACTAAAAAAAGGTAATAGTTGTTTTGCTGTAATTGTTTTTCTTCTTAATATTTTTAAGGTTATTCATTAAAAAAAAAAAAAAAAATACAAAACCCTAATACTGCAAGTCTGCAACTCTTCAAGTCTTCTCCCGCCAACGGCTCCCAGTTATCAAACTCTCGTTAACAAATAACAACGGCAGTTGCTCCAAGTAGTCGTGGATAGACTCAAGCTCCTAGAGACGAGAGAGGAAGCTCTGCAACCGTCGCTATTTGGAGGTATCAGATCTCTTACTCGTACTTGTATGTGAATTAAGGTTTGGCAATTCGACCCTTCTCAACTGTTGGGGAAGATGTGGAGTGTCTCAAATTATGAAATTCTATTGCTCACGTCTTTAATATTGAAGGTTGAAATTGTGCATGAAGATTTTAAATCTTAGGGTTGTATTGAGTAATAGAATAAGCAGAGAAAATGATCAAGCTTTTATGTATATTATCATTGGATAATGTATCATGCCCCAAATAATTTATCCCAAACAAGTTACTCATTTGATTAACAAGTAGTAGGTTGGCTAATTCAATCACCAATGCTACTGTTTCTTTGGCAGGCCACTTGGTTTCAAGGCTACTTCTTGTATCGCTGGTGTGGTTGCTGTTTCTGCAATGGTATGCGTATTTTGACATTTTCCTTCCATTGATACATTGCTAGATTTTGCTTTTAGTCTCCTCTCTTCTTTTTTAGTTGTGGATTTGTGGCGTTATTTTAATAGCTGCTGGCATAATTTATAATGCCAGAGGTTTTATGTTTATGTTAAAAATTTTCTTGTGTTTGTCCATGTGTTTTCTTGTGTTTAAAAATTTTCTTGTGTTTATCTTAGCTTCCAATATGAGAGAGAGAGAGAGAGAGAGAGAGAGAGAGAAAGAGTACCTTATATAGGTTTTGGAAATCTTTTATTTACTTTGGGTTATGATATCTATATGACATGCAGTTGAAACATAAATGAGGCAACACAATTGTACGTTACTGTCTAAGAAAATAATTGAGTAGAGGTGCCAATACTGCAGGATCCAATCAATTGGAGTATGTTTGGACAATCATAGAGTGAAACTATATTTGGGAGGAATGGTCGAATGGATGCAGTTTTTATGGGTTGACTTTGACAGCCTGATATCGAGCTTGAACCAAAATATTCAGTGGTGGTTTTGCAAAACTTCAAACTGTGACTGTTTCTATAGAAAAGATTTCTGTTGCACTGCATTGTGTTAATCTTTGCCTTTTCTTGTTATTCCCTCGACTTGATTAATTATGTTGTCTTTATTGAAATGAAGTTTCAATATTTGGCTGTAAATTTCAAGGTTGCACTTAAGCAGATTTGTCATGTCCCTTCTTGTAGTGCTTCCCTGTTTCTTTCCCACTGGAGGATAAGAACTATGAAAGCATAGTCCTAACCTGGGCTTTTGGTGTCTTATTGTCGTAGGCAGCAAGAGTCATAGCACAGTTGATTGTGGTGGGTTCTGGGATGATGATAAGGGCATTTGCTCAAGCATATCGACAGGCATTAAGTAGTATGCTTCAATCTTAATCTGATTTCTCATTTCCACTATTGTGAATTCATTTGGTATGCCCTGCTTGGAGACATGCACTGTGCTTCTGTAAGGAGTCTAGCTTTTGAAATACGTCAAAATCCAAGTTGCTTTATTATGTTGTCTTCAGCTCTGTTGACATGACATCTAATTTATCTTGATGTTCTGGCTTTTACACCTGGAAATATTTCAACTATGCTTTCCCCCTCAAAAAAAAAAAAAAAAAAAAAAATTAAAATTGCTAAATGGAGTCAGGTCTGGTCTTCTAATATCCATGTGCCAATGATGCCAGATGCCTCAAAGACTGGTGCTGCTCAAGAGGTTGCACAAAACATTCAAAGGGCAGGCAAAGCAATAACTGAAAGTGAGGCAAGGCAAGTCCTTGGCGTCGCTGAGAATTCGTCATGGGAAGAAATCATGCAGGTTCATTTCATCTCAATCTTGCTCTTTCTGATGTTTTTTTTTCCTCACATATGAACCCCCATGCTTTTGTATTTTTGTGCAGAAGTACGATAACTTGTTTGAGCAAAATGCAAAGAACGGAAGCTTCTATCTCCAATCAAAGGTGCATAGAGCAAAAGAATGTCTGGAAGCTGTGTACCAGAGTAAATCTGAGGGAACAAATTAAAGAATTGGTTTTTGGATGTTATTGTTATCCCTTTTGATACATTAATCAATCTACTACGGTGATGTCTGCCTTGTAAAGGTATAACTTGCATTGCTGAACTTCTGTTGTGTCATGCCTCTTGCGGGAAATTATTAAGTTATATAAAGAAATCATTAGTTAGTGTTGATTAAAGTATTATGTTGCTTATTAAAAAGCTAGCTTCAAACTTAATGCTGGATTGAGAGTATCCTTGCAAAAGTGGGGGTGGGGTAGATAAGAAGTTACATGGGGTAGATAAGAATTAGAAGTTACAGGCTACAAATTCCATTAGCTTAGCTTATAAACAGGTGAATTGAGTCCCTGGCCGGGGTGGGGTTGTGATGAAGATGATGATACTATACTATACTATTCAATCCAGTGGGCACCCAGAACTTTAGCCATGAACGCGTACCTGTCTGCAGCTTCATCAATCTGCAAGGTGGGCAGTGAATGAAAGAATGAGAAAGAGAAATGAATATTATTATTATTATGTAAGATAAGAAGTTTGTTTACCAATTTCTGGGTGGGACGGCCACATCCATGGCCAGCATTGCGCTCTATGCGACCCACAATTGGGTTGGTTTGCGGAGTGTTGTGAGCGCTTGTACACAGGACATGCTGCATGGTCTGGACAAGGCATCATCATCTAACATTAGCAAAAGCAGACAACTTGTAAACACACATACAATATAATGAATTCAGAGAGTACATACGTACCGCCAAATATTTGAATGTGTGCAGTGGCACCACCCTATCGTCGTGATCAGCTGTCAATAGCATGGTTGATGGGTATTGGCAGGCCTGATGAGTTTGTTCCCAAGGTCTTCTCACATTATGTAGCGGCGAATATCTGATACACCACCAAATTTTGCAACTCAAAAATAGTTAAGCCACAAATTTATTTTCAGTTCCACACCCTAAACTTTACTCACTTGATTAGCCAATGAAATTCTTCCTCATTATCTGAACACCCAAAGTCAGAGGTCCATGCATGTCCTGATCACACCAACAAAAATCAAAATCAAAATTAATGCACAAACATATATCAATCACAAACACTAGGATTTGACCTATAGTGAATTTGTGGAATCTAAGCATGTCCATCACACCAACATGGGCGAGTGCGCAGCCAAACAGATCAGGTCTCTGCAAAAAAATTTCAAAATATCAATTAATCTATCTCAACACGTACAGATAGCGTGCTGTGCTGAGCTGACGACAATGGACCTGATTGATGCATGCTCCTATTAGAAGTCCTCCATTGCTTCCCCCTTCAATGCACAACTTGCTAGGTTGAGTGAAACCAGCAGCAATCAGATACTCAGCTGCACAAATGAAATCGTCAAAGCAGTTCTGCTTTTTGGCAAGGGCACCCGCCTTGTGCCATTCTTCTCCGTACTCCCCACCGCCACGAATATTTGCTAAACAGAATATAACACCTAAATGTTTTGCTATCACAAGCCGCGCCGTAGAAAAATATGGGGTAACACTAGCACTAAATCCACCATATCCAAATAGCAAACAAGGGTTTGATCCATCCAGGCAAATATCTTTTCCACTCACTATGAACATCGGTATCTTAACACCATCTTTACTGCCCACAAATACCTACCAAAACTCGAATCCAATAGGGAAAAGCTATTAGTTACACACAATATGCTCACTAATGTTGAAGCTGTTAAGAATTACTGTATGTAGACGATTGTGAATGTGGAATGATCAAAAAAGAAGCAGAGAAAGTCACTGACCTGAGTCACATTGAAACTTGCACGATCAAAGCCAGGGACAGTAATTTCGCGGAATATTTTCAGCTCTGGGACCTTGCTTTGCAGGTTGCACTGATATATGATGAGTGGGATAAGGAAGTTTGTAAAACCAATAAACACAATGCTGTCTTTGCGGCGAGCTGAAATTCCATTAACTGTTCCAATATCTATAGGTAAATTGTGGTTCAGAATACCACCTGTTCTTATATCTCTCAACTGTAAAACGCTTTTCACATCACTCAAATAATTCACCACAAGTTGATTGTTATTCACAGCCACAGCTGATTCAAGCACATCTTTTTCATCCTCTTGAATAACATCACACCAACATCCAGGTTCTTTGACATCCACTCTCACTAGTTTGTACTTTGGAGCATTCTTATTTGTCCGGAAGGTGAAAACAGCTTCATCATTTGCAACAAATCCATAAGAGGCCTCAAAATGATCAACGATCTTGTTAAATGGAAGCAGTTCATCCGTCCCTCTATAGCCTTGGAGCCCATTTGGAAGAGCAGACAAGTCACATACATAAACTTTGTTGACTGGATCACAGTTCTCAAAAATATACACCAGAGCATACTGCAGCAGAAGAGTAAGAAGAAAAAAATTAACACTCAAGAACAACAATACAATACATACATTTGATTTTCTCACATTTGAGTAGGAGATGAAAAGGAAATACATGTGTTTTCTTTTCTTAAATTATGTATTTAAAAAAAAAAGGTGGTAAAAGAGTGTCCAGCCTATTTGTCCTATGCCACATTACTTCTTCTAAGAGAGCAAAATGTGCCACCAAAACCATAGTGTATGCATATGTCATAGCTTGTGTCCACCAATCATATCTTTTAATCAAGAATATAATTAAATCATATATAGAAGTTAGGTTGCAATCTTGTATGTACAGACAAATATGGCTTTCTAAAGTGAAAAGCTAAGTTGGTGGCATGCATCATCCTAGCTAGCTTCCTACTTGTCCTGATTCTTGCAATATGATGTATCCTTAATTTATGGAAAAAGTAAGTAAATCAACTAAGAAACAGTGGTATACAGAAAATTAAAGATAGATCTCAAGCAATAAGTTAGGCAGTATGTATTATGTATAGTATTAATAAGTAAATGAAATAATACATACCTTCCCATCTTCTGTGACTGAAGCGGAAATCATATGTCTGGGGTTATCTGAATCTTTCCAGCATAGGATATCTTCAGACTGATCTGTACCCAAGAAATGATAATATAGCTGATGGTGTAGATTGACATTTGTCTCAGTTCCGGCATCCAGATTATCTCCATCCCTATGGGAGAAGGAAGGCATTATAATAAGATATCACAGAATTAATATTCAGTTGGGTATGATATATCATATGGAATGGAGTCATGCACCATGTTATTACAATCAAGATCATGGGAAAGATTGAACCAAATATTATCTCTGATCTATCCAACATAAAAACCACTCCACTTGTTTTTTTTTAATGTGGGACTGGACTTACTTGGGAGCTGGATAACGGCTGTAGAAAAAACCTTTGCTGTCTTTGGTCCAGCTAACATCCGAGAACTTGACCTGTAATCTTGAGAATTTAGCAAGCAAAGCAAAATATATACTCCTATCTATATATATCATGAATGATCTGATCTGGTGAGGTGATACTATACGTACCCAGGAAAGAATATCAGGGTGGACAGCCTTATGATGAACGGTCATAACTCTGAGAGTCACCCAATCACTCCCACTTGAACTAATCCCATATGCCAGGTACTTAGCATCCTCGCTAACCCCCCACATTTTCAATGCAACACTTCCGTCCTCACTCAACCTGTTGGGATCCAGCAAAACCTCTGCTTTCGCATCCAAACCATCCTAGCATGCAGTAAAAACTAAATTCCATCAGAAATTAAAGCCCACATTATATTCACAATGCAATTATTATTAAGTTTAGGAAATTGGAGACCTGAACGTAGAGGACCCTCTGAGGTTGAAGGCCCGTGTTGTGGAAGTAAAAGTACTTATTATCGCCTGCCCTGAAAGGAACGTCGTACTTTGGGAAATCAAACAATTGGGTCAGTTTTTCCCGCAGTTTGTCTCTTGTCTCGCAGCTTTTCAGTACGGAATCCGTTAGTTCAGACTGCTTCCTCACAAACTCTTTTGTCTCCTCTGAATCAGGATTTTCAAGCCTAAAATACAAATAAACACTACTCCTTCATCAACTCTATCATTCTTAAATTAAATACGCCTGCCCACTGCTTAAATTACCATGAAGCTAAACACCTTTTTACAACATACGAAATTATATTATAATCTCGGCATTACAGATGGACATATAATTACGGGAGTAGTTAAGTATATTATCTATCATAATATTGACCCAAAAAAAATACATAAAGTTTACGAGGAGATTGAAAATCAAAAAAAAAAAAAAAAAAAAAAAAAATGATTGTGCATACCATTGGTAAGGGTCAGGAATAAGAACGCCATGATAGTTATCAAGCACGGAATCATCACGGCGAGCTAAAGGGTAATTAAGTGGTTGGGTAGGGACGCACAGAGAACCCATACTTGCAAGCACCGAGCTGTTTGTTGAAGAGATCGATGGAAGCAGTTGAGACAGTTAATTAATAAGGTTGGGTTTGATATGCATGTATTATTTATAGAGAAGGGAATGAGAACATCCTCAGGTCGGTAGGTGCGGGGGTTTCCATTGGTTTGACAGGGGAAGGAAAGTGTTGTCATCTTGTTGAGATTGTGTCGCCATATGGATATATATATATATATATATATATATATATATATATATATATATATTAGCACAAGTTTTTAGGTGTCAAATAAGAGGGAGGAGTGAGAAAAATGTGTGAAAAAAAAAAAAAAGAAAAGAAAAAAATAAAAACAAAGCTTAAAAAACTCTATCCACATTTATGACAAAATTTTTATTCTTGCAGGAGGCATTTACTCTTTTCTTTCTTCTCTCCTCTCTCTTCCACATAACTATTTTTTCCTTAATTCTTGTACAAAATCGGGATGCTCTAAAACATATACACTATTTTATCAAAATACGATTACTATTTCACTTCACTTTTACTTGTGGAGAAATTGCTCATGCCATATATTATTTTAAAATTTTCTTACAATTTAATACGGAATAGTATTAGTATTGGTTTATTTATTTCGAGTTGAAGAAGAAGGTGAGGTTTACTACCCTACCATTTAAGGGGAAATTGAATGAAATGGTCAAAAAATATTAAGAACATATCAAAATGAACTTATAAAACATGGAGAAAATAAGAAAAAATTCGTTTGGGACTTAAGTTTCTCAAATTTTTGAATTTTTTTCTCGCTGAAATACGACAAACGCAAGTTAGTATAAATATGAAAAACGTAAGTACAACTTGCATTTGTCGTAAGTATTCTTGTATACAACAAATGCATGTTGCACTTGTGTTTGACTATTAAAAAAATCACAATGCAATTAGTCAAGTCACATCAGTTTGGCGTGATTTATTTATTACTATCTTCACTTGCCCTATTTTGGCAAATTATGTTGTGAATCCGTATGCACCATGCATGGTGCATACGGATGCAAAAACGACATCGTTTTATTAAAAACGCGCGTCTCCCCTTAAAAAAAAATCAGGTTCGATTCTCAACAACAACATATGAACTAAAAATCCAGAATCGATGAACTATAATTCCATAATCGATGAACTAAAATTCCAGAATCTAATCTATGAACTACAAATTCCAAAATGAATAAACTAAAATTCCAGAATCTATGAACTAAAATTTCAGAATCGATGAACTACAATTTCATAATCGATGAACTATAATTCCAAAATCAATGAACTAAAATTCCATAATCTATGAACTAAAATTCCCTAATGAATGAACAACATAATGTTGTTGCTAGGAATCAAACTTGATTTTTTTTTAAAAAAGGAGACGCGCGTTTTTAGTAAAACGACGTCGTTTTTGCATCCGTATGCATGGTGCATATGGATGCACAGCATAACTACTCCCCTATTTTCAATTTCTATTCTATTGTCATTCTTATTGCTATTCTTTTGATTTTTGTGGGTCAACATTGTGCCATTTAGTCCCTGTAGGTTCTGAATTTAGAGGAATTACGGAGCTCTCAAGGGAGAGCTTCCTAGCCACATTTCTAGTCTCAAATTGCTCTTCTAGTGCAAAGAACACAAATAATCCTTTCTCCACCGCCCACAGTCGGTGCCGCCGCCACAGCAACGTTTCCCTTCCCCTCCTCGAGCTGTGGCTGCCGATGTAGCGGCGGCGGAGGTTGCACAATATCCCCGGTGGGCACCTCGCTTGAGAAGAACACCCAGGAGAAGGGTCCTCTGATGGATGGAGATTCCAACAAAGTGCAGTACAGTCCTGTCCTTGATAATAAAATGGATGCAACATACAAAGCTAAACCTCACTTATACAATTAAACGACAATGTTATTCCAGTGTTAACCATCACCAGATTACACTTTTTTAAGTAGAGCTCATGCAACCTTAGGAACAGGAACAGGAATGCTTTCAGAAGGTGGCGGTAATGTTACTGAGCGCAATAGTTCCAGTGAGAATAACAGCCCAAGAAAGTGTGATAAAATAGTGTTTGCTGATGCCTGTAAATATGAGCAGATAAGGTTTAATAATAATAATGTTGTTATTGCAAACAGCAGTCAGTGTATATCTAAACAAAAAGGTCATTATACTATCTAGAAGAGTGAGTACCTGTACCAAAATCACATCCAATGCAAGCACAGGGCTACTACCAGGGGAAATACCCTGATAGTATGGAACACTTGAGGTGGTAAGAGCCTTAGCTGACAACCAACCTACCGTGGCTTGCAACCCAACTACAGCAGCACCCATTCCCACAAGGTTCAACGCAATCCCATTTTTCAAGCTTTTCACCACATCAGCACGAGGAGGAGCCTACAAACACAACCAACCAGCGCAACATTGACTTAATTGTGTTTGACCAAATTTGTAAAGTGTCGAATAAAAACATCATACAACTGCAAGGAATACAGCTAATGAGTAAACATAATCCATCCATATAGCCGACGGCCCAACACCAACTAGCTAGATTGGGATGAAGAATTAGTTTAGTTGATTTATATAAACAAAAGAATGACTTTTACACCCATCTGTTGCATAATATAAATAAGTCAAAAATATGGTGCAAAATTTTATAAGATTTATATCTTAAGAGTCTATGGATGCATAAGTATAACACAGGCTCAAACTCCCCATCTGCATGAGTTCCAAAAAATGGCAATTCTATAAGGCCTGAACACATTATGTTAAAAAGGTAATATGTAAAATCATACTCTACATTTTAATAGGTTTCTGCAGTCAGGAATTTGTTTAGGAGGATATGACAGCACATCAATCTTGCAACAGGAAAAAGGGTATAAATCATTCTAACTTTCATTTCAATTATATACTCCGTATAATTTAACAGCACATCAATCTTCCAACATTCCGTGTGTAACTGTATGGACATTGCAGGAGACTAAGTGTGTGTTTTGAAGCTGAATTGAACAGTAGAACAGAATATAATTAGAATGTGAAGCTTTTTCTTTGACATTTGTGGAAATGGGAAAAGGATAACTATTATAAGGCAGTTATGGTGCCATCTCAACCAATTGAAGTAATATCTTTTTTTTTTAAAAAAAAAGGAGACATTACCTTTGAAGGCTCACTGGCTGTTTTCTTTAGCTTCGCAGACAAGCGAAGATAACCAAAAGACCAGAAAACAGAAAGAAAAGCTGCAGCAATTCCAGCAGCAGTTGAGTAGAATGTAAAGGGTGATGTGATCTTCCCAGTGATAACTACAGAAAAAGAAAGGATCCCAGCAGCAACGACTGTGCAAACCAGCTGCCCCCAAAACCCTATACTACCCAATCTCTTGAAATACCTTGAAGTACTCTCCAATCTCTTTGAGACCTACAGATAATTCAATCAATCAGCTTTTACCGAAAGTTTTGGACTATAATGTGCAACTAATACAATTAGCTCTCACCAATATAATTCATAATAATCAGGACTCACACTTATCTTTCAAAATCCACGAAGTCAACTGAAAGAGGAAAAAATATTTATTTTACTCTGCAATACCACATTTCACAGGGGTTCTATAACCATGCTAGGCAACAACTCCTCACAATTGGAACTTTCTTAATTGAGCATGTTTTCCATCACACTTGCATGTGACTTGGAATTTGCAAATTATGGTCTTTTTCATCTGCACATTATCAATGCTTCTTCTCACAAGTTCAAACCCAAATTAATTGTTCAACACATTCATATTTAAGGTATAACAAGTTCATACAAGAAATGTTATCTCCATATGCATAAGCAGGAGTTGAATTTACATAAAAAGAAAAACAATATAAAATCTGTGAACATAAGCAGGAGTGGGGTTTACAATAGAGAGAGGGAGACCTGAGCGAGCTTCGCTTTTTCCGATTCTTCGCTCGGAGAAACGAACGTCGCGGATACAGGACCCGCGGCGGCGAGGGTTCTACTCCTTGTGTAAATGAGACTTGAGTAAGGTGGAGAGAGAAATCGTTGAGCCTGTGAGGATGTGAGACTGTGGGGTAACGTGATAGGAATCGGGGAAATTAGGGGGCGTAAAATATTAAGCGGAATGCGTTTCGCCACGACCGGCGAGATCATCGGCAAAGGTGGAGGTGCGCCACCGGAGCGCGTAGCCGGCAAAAGTAGTGTCTGCATATCGAGTGATGAGCCAATTTGAGTTGTCCTTATTATCATGAATAAACGTCCAAGAAAAATAAAAAAGATAAATTATCTTAAATGGGCCCATATTTGGGCCGGGCCAGTGCCAGCGTTTAAAATAATGATGTTTTTTTTTTTAAAACCAAAACAACATATATTAATTCAAATCCGAAATCAATACATTACAAAGATAAAGGGAGGGTTCGCAAACCACTCCGACCAACCAGACGTAGAAATAGACTGTTTAGCAACAGAATGAGGTCCCTGGTTGTTGATCATTTTACAAACGATAAAAACACATGAGAGAAATCTCCTAACAAGTTTTTACATCATTGATAATCAAATTAAAATAAGACTCTCTTATATTTTGCTTAAGATTGTTGACCACCTTTAGGGAGTCTGTTTCCACCATGACGTTGTCTAAGGACAAGCTCTTGATCCAGCTTAGCAATTCACGAATTGCAACTGCTTCGGCTTCCTTAGGTGAGAAGATCCCACTCCATTGTAGTCCCCTAACAGTAACGAAATTACTTTCACTATCTCTCAAGACACAACCAAATCCCATTTTTACATTGTCCTTATCAATCACTGCGTCGATGTTCAGTTACAAGCCTTCCTCCAATTTTTAAGAAAAGTTCTTGCCATTTTTGTTACTCCATAGGCATTAGCATGATTGATATTCTCCCAGATTTTTGAGTTGCGTTGTTGCCATATCTCCTAGTAGATTGAGATTGTCGTGCATAGTTGCTCCTTAGACCGATTTGAGAGAACTTGATTAAGCTAACTTTGCAAAGGTTGAGACAGTGACAGTTGGAACTGAAATCCCTGAGCTCTCCAAACGTCCAAAGCATAACCACAACCAAAGAAAACATGCCATATGGATTCATCTTCATTATTGCAGATGGGGCAGGTTGCCTCACAGTTTACCAAACATCTTTCTACAATCAACTAATCGAACCATCTAACCTAATCAACTAACACCTATCAGTCAATAGTTATTTACCAAACACCCCATAGTAATAAAATAAAATAAAATAAAAAACCATGAGCCTTTTTTTTTGGGGGGTGGGGGGATTGAATACAAATTTCCTAAGTCAAGATAAATTAAAACTCCACTCGTTGAGATTAGTTTTTCGCTGTTAAGTATGATTTGAAAGAGTGACAAAACATGCTCTTATGTGTTTTGAATTTTATTATATTTACTAGTTTTGACACGCGCTTTGCGCGATTAAACCAATGCCCAATGTATATTTATAAATTAGTGTGCCTTAATTGGTTAAAGTATTCATATAATAATGAGAGAAAGAAAAATGCGAAATGAATAAAAGATAAAGAAATAATCTTAGTGCTTATATATTTTAATAAAAGATAAAGAAATTTGAAATAGCTAAAATAGAATTAAAGTAAAAACAAATAAACCACTAACTAAAGCTGACTATCTATAATGAAAAGAGTAGTAATTTGAGCAGAGTAAAATTTATTTTTCTTAGTGCATGTTTGTTGAGGCTCGGAATTGTCTTCTTCTTTTCCATCCTTAGTGAAGTTGAGTTTCCTTTTTGCTGGTTGTGCGTTTATTGCATGTTGTTTACTCGTGGTAGTGAATGACAATGAATCGTGCAATGATGTTATGGTATATGATACCATGTTTTTGCCTTGTTGTGTGTAGGATTGAGACCTTAATTGTATTATATATTCTTCATCTTGTAAGCGGTTATTGATATGTTGAAATCGTAGCTGTTGACCCTGCAAGATGTTTATGTAGTTAGTCATAGGTTAATTTACTATAAAACATGAGTGGTTGTGGGTGGTAAAGGATGAATACCTGTTGTTCCAATTGCATAACTTGTTTGCTCGTAAAGAGTAATAGTTGTTCAACACATTTCCTAAACACAGATGCAACAAGGCATCCACTTCCATCAGTAATTTCCACATCCAGTTTACACCTATTATGAATGTTTAGATTAGAATTGTTGTATTATGTTTGTGTAATGATTAAATTGATACTGACCTCCTTCTAACAAAAAAAGAAAAATAAAACTGTGTATAAAAATTATTACTTACCGTGGTGTTCCCACTGCATTCAATTCACCACAATGCATGCAATTAAATTGTTTCACTTTCCGCGTAAACCTTTTTCATACAATGACTACATCCAATGTACAATGTGTTTTTTATCTGATGCTTAAAGCTGATTTTTCCTTTTATCCAAGCAGGTTTAATCTACAAGTTGTCATGAGTAAAAAAAAATGAATATTAATGTTAAATATAAAATATTGAATTATTGTGTAAAACCTATTACATATATACCAGATCAATTGATGGAGGGATATTAGCAATTGTAAAAAATTGTAAATAATGGAGGGATAAAAGAAAAATTTTGCAGTTTCTGGATTTGCAAGTTTTATTGCAACGTCATTGTAGTCTCGACATCGTTTTAATGCATCAAGTGTAGCACGATGCTTTGTTCCCCTAATAATATATACAAAAGAAATGTATTTTTAAAATAATGTGTGTGCGTGAGTCTGTATATAATTCATATTATTTTATATTTTATTACACGTGGGGAATCACAGTTTGTTGTTTGAGATAATTGTATGACCATGTGCTTAGTTATTATTTTCATTATTATAACATTTACTCTGATTTCATAATGTACTTTTGCCGCGACGTTTTTCGTTAGCAGGATCCATTGTTGCGTAAGCATTTTGGCGTGTCAAGTTCCTCTCTGCACGTAGACTCTCATTACAAGCATACCACTCCCTATAAATAAATAAAGGAGTGTGCAACACAAAACGGAAAAACCATTTATTATATTATAGGTGTGAATAATACATATACCTTTGCATTTTTAGCTGTGAATTCTAAAGCCTACAAAATCAATTCCATAGAAAAAATAAGTCCACACAGAACCCCTAATGGGCATCATTTGCGTTAAATAGGGAAAAGTCGGGGACACCGGGATACAAGGTTATTAGAATGTCATCAACTATCCTTACAGTAGTATACAGAAAAGACTCAAAGAACACTACATATCATGATCATTTGTATTGCATCAAATCAAAATAAATATAATAGCAAATGTATATACTACTGAGTATAACGTAAAATCTACTGTTTTCACAAGTCAAACATATCAAGAACCCACACAGTACAACTTATTACTGAAATTTAAGATTATGGAATATGCCTTCCCTACCGAAATATCATACCTGGCTTCCCTCTTATGGAAGGCCAGCCCTCAATATTCATTGATCTTGTAAGGGTTTTCATTCAAGTTATGATGCAAGCACCACTTCCCCCTAAGGAAAGACATCTACCACCTTCACCACCTCACCCCCACCCAATAAATTTAAAAAAAAAAAAAAAAAAAGGCATCAGGAAACAGTCAATCCATGTTCAGAAAAGTGAAGTGAAACAAAATACCACCATCTAATTTAATGAGATACCTTGCTGAAGTAACCAGCCAGCAGAGCACTGTGAGGACGCACAGGTTCCAAAAATGAGAATAGCAAGTTCATTAGCTGCCAATCAAAATTAAAAGTCTATTTAAAAGCATTTTCTTCCAAATAAGAATAAATAAAGCACAGTGAAAACATGTATTGTCACCTCTTCATCATCAACCAAAGCTTTGAGAATTATATCAACCTCACAAGTAAAAATTTCACAAGCAATAAAAGGAAACATATTCACCCACATGAACCCAAAAAAAAAAAAAATTAGAACAATACAACATATTCAAGATAATGTAAATATGCAAGAAATTAATAGGCAGGGCAAAGATATTTTTTAAGTAACTCACTTAAATTTTCGTTTTTTCTCAGTTTCATCTGCAGCCTCTTCCACTATATATCTGACAAGTTGTTCCACTTGACTTCTCTCCCGTAAACTTCCAAATAGCCCACAAGTGAAAACAAATATTTTAGAGTGGCAGTAAATAGAAAGTTTACAAGGAAACAGCTCAAAGAATTTATATTTACAAATTTGAACATGAGAGATAATATTGTAGTAAGGTAGGAACAAAGTGATAAAGACACGAGCCTTTATGTGTGAGGTGGTGCCTTAGAAGGTGGGGGTAGTGAGCATTTAGCATACATACCATAATTAACCAGCAACTAACTAAATGGACAAAGGCTGAAAGCATTAAAGCACTGCATCATCTAACTATCAAAATTAGATGTTAAAAAAAGTTGAAGATGCATAGTAAGAATATGTACTTACAAAAGACACAACATGAGAGTTCAAATCAAGCATGTTTACTTTCCATAGTCTAGAGGCAAGTAAGCTGAACATTAGCAGAACAGAGGTAGGTACCTTCCATTATGATCACCTACTGAATTAGAATCACATACTGAATTCTCATCAGCCATACTGTAAGAATATCCACCCTGTGTATCTGCTTGCAAGTTGTGTTCATAGCAATTTCTAATATGAGAAGTAAGATAGGCAATAGAAAATTACAATTCCAAATTTCTACTACTCACTCTCACTCAGGACAAAAAGGAAATCAACCTGCCATGGCACCAGAAAAGCTTTTCTAATTGACCTTCATCATCAACAATACACTCATAGCAGAACATAGAATCTGATCTACTTAATTTTATGATGCAAATCTCAAGTAATGCATAGACAAAATTAAAGCAAAAGCAATGCATTGACAATTCTGCAAGATCACAGAAACTCATACTTGGTATGCTTGAATTAATTGGAGTAATTCATAATCTATACTTGGTGTGATTTTGCCTCAATAAACTCAGAATCTATACTTAGAACAAATTAAAACCTAGCAATGCCATACTTAACTAAGAATTAGTTTGAAGCAAATTAAAACAAAATTTAAAGCAAAAACTATAACATACATCCAAACCATTCCAAAATTCTGCACTTTTTTCAAATGAATTAATTAAGTCCCAGCAAATTTGAGAAAATGCTACCCAAAATTTTTACTTCCACGTCGAAGCAAAACCCATCTGAAATATCACAGATTCGCATTCCACTCAAGCTACCCCTACTTTCATAGCAAATATGGTAACT